TAGACACCCTTCAAACCTGGAACTGAACTCATCCCCAGAGATCACCTTGCAGTCGAACAACAGACAGGCTTATAAAAATAGTAACACTCATGAGGAATGTAGTCCTCAATACAATAAATCATACGAGACTGAAAGGGCAGCATTTGCCCCAAAACAAAGCTGAGTAGGCGGGAAGGGGCAGGAAAGAAAACTGAGGAACCCAGGGAGGAAGCAAGAAGGGTACTGTTACATTAAGGGAGTTGCAACTAATGTTATGAAACAAAATGTGTATAAATTGTTGAATAGAAAATTAATTTGCTCTATAAACTTTCATGCAAACCACAATATAAATAAATAAATAATAGCCACTGTAATAACTGTTAAGAAGTCTCTTGAAGGAGTCATCATCCTTATCAATAGTTTTCTCAAGGGAAAAAAATCTGAATTTTCTTTGGTGTCTATGTAGCATATTCACAAAACAGATTGCAAGTTCCCCCTTGGGTGGTGAAAATTTGCAGAAGATAGAGTGATCAAGTGTTGTAAGGGGTATGAGTTAAGGAAAGCTGAAAAACAGCAAGTCTGTAGACCAGCAAGCACAAACAATAAATATGGACCTAGCTTCTGGAGTCTGGGTTTCTCTGAAATGTTTTACGACAAGGGAACTCTCTATCTCTTGTGACACCATAGATGGAGAAGAAAGAGGACAAGTTGACCCTTCTTCACAAATTTCCATAAAGTTTCCTTTATGGTAGTCACTGTTTTTAGAAAACGATTGTCAGAGGCTAATGTCTGGGCAGCAGAGAAACTCAGCACTGCCATTTTGAAGTCTCTGAACCAGCAAAGGCGTCTACACTGCTGACTTTAAGCACTGCCAAGGACAGGTTTACCCTGGCTTGGACAAATGCCATGTTTGCTATGGCACCAATAGCAGTTGCTGTTGAAATCCACTTCTCCGAACCAAGGGCTTCTGGAACAAAAACAGCACACACACATATCCCCTTCTGCCAATACCCAGAGGTTCCTTCCTGGGAAAGAACAGCCCAGACTATAACATGCTGCTGCAGGAAATACACACATGTGAAAAAAGTAAGGGGGCTGGTGGTAAAGAAAGACACTTCAGGTTAATAATTCTTGGAATAACCACAACCTTCCACCTCTTGCCCCATGCGTGCAGTCTAAAGAACTGGCTAAGGTGTGTAGAAGAAACTAACAAATATCATAATGAAAGCAACATAGTGGGGATGGGAAAGGTGGCTGGGCTTTCCTTTCTGGGTTTCTATTCTTTAAAAATCTGTATTTAAATCTAGAAGGAGAAATACCAAAATGTTGACAGTTTTGATTTCTAGATGGTAGGGTATGGGTGACTTATTCCTTTGAAATTTTCTACAAGGTGCTCTGGTGGCACTTTGGTTTAAGCACTTGCCTGCTAACCAAAAGGTTGGCAGTTTGAACGTACCAGCCATTCCTTGGAAGAAAGATTGTGGCAGTTTGCTTCCATAAAGCCTTTGTTGTTGTTGTTGTTTGCCGTCGAGTCGGCCCCGACTCATAGCGACCCCTCCTTGGGTTTCCAAGGCAGTATCACTACGGAAGTAGGATTGCCCAACCTTCCTTCCGAGGAGTGGCTGGTGGGTTTGAACTGCCAGCCTTCTGGTGAGCAGTCAAGTGCCTTTGCCACTATGCTACCAGAGCTCCTCCATAAAGCCTTGGAAACCCCATAAGGCAGTTCCACTCTGTCCTATAGGGTTGCAGTAAATGTCATAAAAGTATCTGTGGTCATCCACATATGATTTTCATGCAGATTTAAACAGCATGATATTTTTATATGGTCTTAAGGAAAAAAAATAACCAAACACAAAATTGCACACACAGTCTGATCTCAACTCTGTAAATAAGTATGCATAGAAGGAGAGAGATCCTAGGAGGTTAACCTTTGGTTCTCTAGGAGGTGAGATTATGGGTGATTTTAGTTTTCTTCTCATTACTTCTCTATATTCTTTAGGTTGTCTGTGTATCCTGAATTCACCTGAGTTTATGAGCTTTTAGGTAATAATGAAGTCACATTAGCTCATTGATTTTCACCACATATACCTAGACCGGGAGCTCTGGTACCATAGTGCCTAAGGCACTTGACTGCCAACCAAAAGGCTGATGGTTCAAACCCACCAGCCACTACTTGGAAGGAAGGTTGGGCAATCTACTTCCGTAGTGATACTGCCTCAGAAACCCAAGGAGGGGTCACTATGAGTTGGGTCCAACTCGATGGCACATAACAACAACATATCTGGACCAGACTCAGTTTTGAAGTTTGTTGCATAATCCCAAAAGTATTTCTGGGAAATTCCCAGAGGGTATATACAGGTTCCAGGCAGCACTCAGTTCTGACTTGGCTGCCCCTTGTTACCAGCGCTCCACTTCCACCTCCTCTCAAACTTCACTTTAGTTGTTGTTACTGTTTAACCCTGGGAGCTCTCAACTCTGCCTCTTCCTGCCTGTGACACTGCCTTCTCTGCTCTCAACCCGTACATGTTAAGATAACTTCTAGCTGCTGTGAAGTAAGAAAACAAGTGGCTTCTGTGTAATGCACATCTTTTTGCCTCAACAATTTACAGTGGTTATTGAGCCTACTTGTTCATTTTCATCAAAACTAATGCCCAGATGGGGAGAAAGTGGGAGGGGAGCTGTTGCATTGTGGTAAACTGTGGTCAATGTCATGAGACAAAATATATGTGAACTGCTGTATGGAAAGTGAATTTGCTCTGTAAACCTTCATCTAAATCACAATTAAAAAAAAAAAACTAATGCCCGGCCAGCGCTTGCCTGAGACAGAGTCTAGTACACATTAGCTTGCTCTTCTAGAACCAGCCTAGGTCTTGGAGTTGAATCCAATTCCTCCTGTCTCCCTTCCCCATCCTCCCCTCCTCCACCTCCAACTTTGCACATAACCCTATATGATTGAGTTCTTCCCTTGCAAAGTTTTCTCAGCTCTCAAGTAAACTGGAGATGCAAATAGATGTCCACTACAGTAGAAAACTATTGGGTTGGCAGGGACAAGGAATGCTAGCTAATAACATTGCCAATCATATCTCAACTCAGGTGGCCCAGGTGTATGACTACCACTCCATCTACAAGGAGACTGTTTTTTAATTTAAAAAAGAAAGAAGAAAGAAAGCAAACATTTATTTAATGTTTAATGTAATTTAGTAAATGAATGTTCTATGCCAGTGTGTATAGAAGTAATTAATTAGCTCTGGTTTATGCTTTTGTACTTGAGGGACCTTGATCAGATATCCAAGGTGCACATGGCTGACTATAGACCAATGTGACCCTGACTGAGACCTCTCATAAATGGTTATTTTCATTTCGAATGAGATTATCTTTCTATAGGAAAGAGCAGAACACCATTAAGTTCGATCCCTCCTTTAAGCTTTGGAACTCCTAAGTTAAAATGACATATACAAATGTCCACTTTCGCATTCATTTCTCTAGGAAAAGGCAATTCGGCAGATGTCTACAGGGGAATAAAATCTATGTTTATATCAGTTGTTAAAAAAAAACAAAACAAGAAAACTTCTGGCCTTGCATGAACTTCCTTGTTTTTCTTGGCAAGATACAAAAATGTGACTGTTTAGGATGGGTGGTGTTTGGGGTGTGGTTTGGAGTGTGTGTGTGTGTTTAATGTTAAGCATGGACTTTGTTGATAAAGGTGAAGGCTTTGTTGACAATGATTTGGCTATTGTAAATTTTTTTTCTCTTAATTAGACCAAACCAGTTGTCATTGAGTTGATTCTGGTTCGTGGTTACCTCATGTGTGTCTGAGTAGAACTGTGCTCTGTGGGATTTTCAACGGCTGATTTTTCAGCAGGAAATCACCAGGCCTTTCTGCAGAGGCACCTGTGGGTGGACTTGGACCTCCAACCTTTTGGTTAATAGCCAAGTGCATTAAAACTCTTTGCACATCAAGGGATTCTCTCTTAATTAGAAATTTAATCTTTGAAATCTCCTAAAATAAGTGAGTTTTCTTCTGTAGTTCAGGTTAACCAAATTTCTTCAGAGGTTACCATAAACTGGAGATCTCTGGCACCACAGCCATGCATTATATTAGGGTCTAGTGCTGCAGGAAGTCTAAATTTTGCTGGCACCTTCAGCTAAACTGATTTGTTATACATTATATGTGGAATGAGTTTGAGATTTGCAGTGAGTTGGATCTTCACTGTAATTCTTCAACTGGTATTTAACTTCCTTGAAGATAAATTCTTAGCTAGTGTGGACATTTAATGGGACACCACTTAGATTTGGAGTGGCAATGTGGCCCAGCTTCTGCCATAGAGTAGAAATCACAAGAATAGGAATTTGCTCAGAGAGCCAAAACTCCAGCACACTGTCCTGCAGGCTTTGACTAGATGGAAGGAGGGACTTCACTGTCACCACTGCCACCCAGAGGGGCATGAGAATGTGTTCCTGGAGGGTTTGACAGGGCTTGATTAATATTTTTGACTTTTGAAATATGACATACAGAAAATATAAAACTATAAGTGTATAGGTAGCTGAAATTTTACAAATTGAACACACCCGTGTAACCTGATCAAAAACTAGAACATTACCTGCACTCTCAAGGGTTTGCCTAATTTTTAACTTAGGATCCTAGAACTAAGCTGATATCAGCTGTGTCTAGGCACACTCCCAGGTTTAGAAGGGGAGCCACAGCATATTGGAGCTGTAAGGGACCTCAGAGATCACCCCAGAGAACTAGCTCAAAACTCAGATGATCAGATACTTGCCAAGAGAAGGACACTATGACTCAGGGTTCCTGACCTGCACCTGTATTCTTCCCATCATATCTAACTGTATTTTGTATTCAAAGGACAAAGAGCAGCATGCTTACTTTTCATCCAAGACATATATTTATCTAAGATCCCAAGACATCTCTGAATCCATCAGCATTCTCTGTTGTTTTAACTCATGGATGAACAAATATAAAAAACACTGTGCATGATACCATGTAATATTCCATCCCAATCCAGATGCAGGATGAGCATTCCAGAAGTGCCATTGCTTGTTTCATAAGGGAAGATGACAGTTCTTGGGATCTCGATGATGAAGACAGTGTGAATGATCTCTGCTGGCAAATAAAATGGCAACTACATCAGTTCGTTAGAAAGGTAGGTGCACTACCAGGTAACCTCAGACATAAGAGGTCAGGGTTCAAGGAATATTTAAGATCATCAAGGCTAGATTTCTCATTTTGCAACGAGAAATGAGCTTATAAACAACTTTTCCCCAAAGTCATAGAAGTAGGAAAGGATAGAACAATGCCAAACACTAGGTCCTGGACACTCCTGGACTAGAGTTCATTCACTTACCCTCCTCATCTAGCCTAATCTCTTTGTTTTACCACGTGGAAACTGAGCCGCAGATGAAACATGTTTTCAAGGTCACACAACAATAAAAGATGTGTATGATTTTTTCTTTTTTAATTCAGAATATATAAAAGGCCAAATAATAGCATGTTATATTCTTCTCAAACTGCTCATCTCTGGAGTTAAATATGTATTTATTTTTTTGCATGCATATAGAGATGAAAGGAACTTTGGTGGCACAGTGGTTAAGCACTTGGCTGCTAATCAAAAGATCAGTGGTTCAAATCCCTCAGCCACTCCATGGGAGAAAGATGAGGCAGTCTGCTTCTGTAAAAACTCCAGCTTTGGAAACACTACAGGAGCAGTTCTACTCTGTCATATAGCGACTCTATGAGTCAGAATTGACTTAACTGCAGTGGGTTAAATAGAGATAAAGAAAGAGAATAGGAAGAGGAAAGAAAGAGATACTTTGAGAAATTAAAGATAATGATTTCTCCATTTATACTTAGTAAATGGCAAATAACAAAAAAATCATTATCTGTTTATGGACACTGCTTAAACAGAATCTTGAGTAGCAATATTTTGTTTAGCTAGCAGTTTATTTCACTAAATATTTTAAAGTAAATTTGCTTTTAGCAATGTGACTTAGATCAAATCAAATTTCTTCTTCCGGGCTGTTTCCTCCTTTGTAAGATGATATTTAATAGTATTTGCCTTCTGCTCACCTCAAAAGGTCAGATAAGAATGTGGATGGAAAAATGCTCTGTAAACTGTGGAGCACCATATATGCCATCATGGGTTAAAATATACTGGGGAAATTCCCAGGGTACAAAGAGGATGAATGTCAAAGACATGTTTATAAGTCCATTGTTTGGCACTCAAAAGCCACTTTGCCAAAGAAACAGTGTTGTGCGGGTAGTTAGGACTCTGGTTTATAACCCTGAATAGTACTCATAGTAGAACCCAAGCAACTATTTAATTTCTATGGGAAATAAAATCATACTTCTACCTGGGAGTCTGAGAAGTACATCTGCTCAGTGGTTGCCCTAGAAGTGTGGTCTGGCCTAGAGCACCCCACTTCCCACAAGAGGTTCCAAAGCAGCTGTGATTCCACTGCTCCAAATTATAATGATTGCTCAAGAGGTGAGGACTAAGAAAGCCTGGGGCTAGGAGAGGATCTGAAGAACCTGAGGAATAGGAATCCACAGAAAATTATAGTGCAGGGACACAGCAGGTGGCAGGAGAAAGAAAGGCCATCTAAGGCAACAATCTGGAGACACAGGAGGGGGGGTGCTGGGGGCTGGAGCTGGGGACTAGGGGGATAAGATTTTTCATATCCTTTTCCTGCTATTCTTCTCCCTCCCAATCTCACATCTTGTCACCAACTAAAATAGAATCTGGGAGAGGATACACAGAGGGTGGTTCTCTCTCTCTCTCTCT